TTTACGCTTCTCTTTGTGTTCTTTTGGATGTTGGCAAAATATGCCAGAGATAATCCTAAATTGGCAAACAAGAAATTGAAGTATATAAAAAATTGCACAGAGATTATAGGTTGCGCCATAAGAAGAGAAACTGAAGGTGATTTAGGTCGTTAGGGAGAAGGGAGAGGGTAATCAAACTAATTAGCAAAAGGTTGTAATCTGAATTTCTTTCCCTATCCAAACACTTCATAACAAAACCCATATAATAAATAGCGCCCCAAAATTCTAATTATTAGAAGAAAAAAAAAACCCAATCTCATATACAAGTTTCCAACAACCAATAACCATGATAAACCAATTAATTATGCTAATAAAAGAAATATGAGAGATTACCAATTATTATAGGAATTACCATGAGAATTAAGTTGATCCCAAATGCATCGGTACAGTTGGCTCGACTTCCATGCGAAATGGGGATAGGAACCTAGGGAAGGAAGAAGTTAAAAAGAGAAGGGAGCTTGTTAAAATACCATTTTGCCCTTACTCAATAGTGGCACGAGATAGGGTTATTTAGGGCATTTGGATAACTATTAGACTGTAACCGCTTGAACGACGCTGTATCTCATACTTCAAAGTTCAAATATAAAAGGCAACCTTCCCTCCATTTCTCAAACCCAAAAAGAAATTGGAGAAGTAAACGCTGCAGCTCGGAGCTCTTTGCTCTCCTCCGATGAACAGAAGTGCGTGGGACGATTCTAGATCGAACTTTCAAATTTGACTATAATCACCTTCAAATTTTATGAGTATTTCAATAGTAGTTTATAGCTTTTCCTCCACCAATTATCAAAATCAGAGAAGTAAACGCTACAGCTCGGAACTCTCTGCTCTCCTCCGACAAATAGAATTGTGAAGGACGATTTGGATCCAGTAGAGCGTGACATGAAGACGGAAGCGGTGTTTTGTCCAATTGACAAAACATAAATTTTCGTTTGCAGAAAGATTGACGTGAAGGTAAATGTTAAAAAAAAAAAATTCTTGATTTTTTTTTAAAAGGGGACAACTTGTGGCAAGTCACGGTTATCCACCTTTTCGGGGGTCGGGAAGACTCACAGAGCCATTTCAGCCTCCTTCTGACCACAAGTCTGGCTTCTATACCAGCAGCGGGTTTCGAACCTAAGACCTCCAGTTTTTAATGGCTTTTGCATCAGCAGCAGGTTTCGAACTCAAAACCTCAAGTTTTTAATTTGAAGGAAACCTCACAATCCGACATTTTATCACCCGGCCACTAACTCGTGGTTTTGTCTTGATTTTATTAAAATTTTACTTTGTTTTTTAAACGTTTTTAATAATCTAATTTTTGTTTTCTTATCAAGCCATCAAAATACCAAAAGGGAATACAAACTCCTAGGTTAGTTAAATTACTTTCTTTTTTTTTTTGTATTTTTTTCTTTTTGTTTTGTAAATTTTATTTAGTTTGTTTATCTATTTATATATTTTAGTAGTTTAACTTATTGTTATTAATGAGTTAATAGGAAAATGAGCTTTTGGATTTGTCGTGGCTTGTACTCACATCTTGAATGACAACAATTATGTTGTGAAATGGGTACTATACGGGTAGGACAATCTTCCATTTCAGAAGGTGCATAGGTAAAAAAATTATAATATTTTATTATGGATTTTTCTCTTCAATGGTCCTTGAAATTTACTTATCCCATTAAGATGATTCTTAAAATTGAAAATCGATTAATGTTATAATTTCGTAAAAAATTCTGTTATGGGTTGATGTGACATATAAACGGATTCCACATAGTTAATTAAATATTATTATGTAAATTAAAAATATTTAAATAGTAAAAAAACATATTCTATTTTTTATAATTATGAACTTTAAAAATAAAAAGAAAAGGAAAAAACAGAAGATGAGTGAACACTATTCATCATCTTCTTCCCATGAATTTGGGGCAATGGGGCAATGGAGTCCAAGATATTACACACTACTGACTGCTTTCCCGTTCTTTCTCCCTCAGCGTCCCTCCTTCCTTATTTTTGTTCAACAGCCACAAACTCTCTACTTCTTCTTCACTCTTCAAATTGAACCTCTCGTCAAAACTCAGGTGCCAAAAAAGCGTGGCAGTTTCTCTTCAAATTGAACCTCACGAAAATGCTGAATTTTGCTGCCGCTTTCTTGCCTTTGGAGATCCAATTCCTAGGCTCACCACCTTCGTCTTCTTCTTCACCCAAGGCTTCATCAAGACTGGATTCCAATTTCGAATTGCGTATCAGGCTGATCACATTATCAAAACCGGATGCCCAAGGCTTCATAAGATCGAACTCCGACTTCGAATCCAGTGACTCCAAATTCACGGTAAGAAGATGATGAACAATGTTCAATCATCTCCATTTTCTTTTCAAAGTTTTTAATTATAAAAATATAAAAATTGTTTTTTATTGTTTAAATATATTTAATTCACATAATAATATTTAATTAAATGTGTGGAATCTATTTATGTGTCACATCAGCACATAACAGAATTTTTGATGCAATTATAATGTAAGGACTACATTGATTTGCGACACTTATTTTCAAGGACTACATTGATTGATTTTCAATTTCAAAGATCATCGTGATGAGATAGGCAAATTTCAGAAACCATTTGTAAGGAAAACCCATATTAAAATATTATAAATTTTTTTACCTCTGCAGCTTCTGAAATGAAAGATTGTCATGTCCGAATCGTACCCATTTCTCAGCATAATTGTTGCCGCTCAAGATATGAGTACAAGCCACAACAAATCCAAAAGCTCATTTTCATATTAACTCATAAATAACAATAAGTTAAACTACTAAAATATATAAATAGATAAGCAAACCAAATAAAATTTACAAAATAGAAAGAAAAAAATACAAAAAAATCAAGTAATTTAACTAACCTAAGAGTTTGCCGTGTATGTATTCACTTTGTATTTTGATGGCTTGATAAGAAAACAAAAAATTAAATTATTAAAAACATTAAAAGTTTAAAATATAAAGTAAAACCTTAATAAAATTAAGACAAAAAATAAATTAAAACATTTATCTTTCAGCCAATCTTTTTGCAAACAAAAATTTCTATTTTGTCAATCGGACAAAACACCGCTTCCGTCTCCATGTCACACTCTACTGCATCCAAATCGTCGCTCACAGTTCTGTTTGTCAGAGGAGAGCAAAGAGCTTCGAGCTGCAACGTTTACTTCTCTGATTTAGAGAATTGGTGGAGTAAAAGTTATAAACTATTATTGAAATACTCATAAAATTTGAAGGCGATAATAGTCAAACCTGAAAGTCCGATCTAGAATCATCCCTCGCATTCTGTTTGTTAGAGGAAAGCAGAGAGCTCTTAGCTATTGTGTATACTTACCGATTTCTTTCTGGGTTTGAGAAATGGAAGGAAAGTTGCCTCTTATATTTGAACTTTGAAGTATGAGATACGGCGTCGTTCGGGTGGTTATAGTTTGATAATTATCTAAATGACCCTATCCTGTGCTATTATGGAGTAGGGGCAAAATGATACTTTAACAAGCTCCCATCTCTTCTTAACTTCTCCCTTCCCTGGGTTCCCGTCCCCATTTCGCATGTAAGCCGAGCTGACTGTACCGATAGATTTGAGAACGACTTAGTTCTCATGGTGTGGTAATTCCTATATTAATTGGTAATATCTCTCATATTTTTTTATTAGCGTAATCAATTGGTTTATCATGGTTGTTGGAAACTTGTATATGAGATTGGTGTTTTTTTTTCTAATAATTCTGAGAATTTTGGGGTGCTATTTACTATATGGGTTTTGTTATGAAGAGTTTGGATAGGAAAAGAAATTCAGATTACAGCCTTTTGCTAATTAGTTTGATACCTCTTCTAAGTTCAAGCCTTTTTGTTTTCCAGTGCCAATCTTGATGTTTTGGAGATTGACATTATGATCACTTTTGTTTTCATATGTGTGTGTGTGCAGTGTGTGTAAATTTTTTGGAATTATAAGTGGAGCAAATTACCTGAAATGATTTACTCAGTTATATCTGCAGGATTATTATTTTGAGATATAAGAGTGGTCGCGATTGCAAATGATTTTCATGTGCACTTCTTTATGATGAGTCATCCATTACGGAGATTCATTTATCAGTACCGCTTCTCCCTATTATGGATGGTTGTTTAATAGTGTCTCCATTCTTTCCTTTAATGGTTTGATATCATTTTACAATCAACACATCCTTCAGTTTCCAATCAGGGACAAAAGTTATCGGTCTTGTATTCAAGTTTTTAATCCCCTTTCAATCACTGTAGGTATTCTTACACAAATGATCTAACCTAATTTAGTTCATTTCCTCCATTTTTACTCCCTTCCCTTCTCCCTAACATCCTAAATCACCTTCAGTTTCTCTTCTTATGGCGCAACCTGTAATCTATGTGCAACTTTCAGCGGTTAATCCATTTTCTAGGTTCTGATGCTGAGAAGTGGAAGTTGAATTTTTGTGACAAAAAGCCCATTTGTTGTAAAATTCAACACTGACCCATTGGGGATGATATAAAGGGTATTCAGGGTTGACCTCGACTGATTTTGGAGGCGAGGCATCTGATTATTGATTTCTTAATCAGAAGGCAGCCAAATCCAGTTGGGTCCAGATATCTTATAAACCAATGTGATGATAAAATCAGGCCGGAAGAGGGTCAGTCCAAGTGAATCCATGCCCTTGGGGACCCAATGAGCCAGCATCAAGCAAGACATGCCAATTGTTCTTTTAAGCCGGTGCCAATGCCATCCATTGGTAAGAATAACCAGGCTCTCTTTCTCCCTAAATGTTGGGAGGTTGTGAAAGAGGATTTTATTAATTAGTTCTTCATTGTTTTGCTCATGGAAAGCTACCTCAAAGCATTACACTATCATGATATCTATTTGTGTTTATATATAATAGTTGTGTACATTTTCTAGTGTTATAAGTGGAGCGAATTATTTGAAATCATTTGCTCACTTATATTTGCAGGATATAATTTTGAGATACATAAGTGGTCTGGAAAGAGCTGGGAATCATATGTTCTGATCGCGAATAATGTTCAAGTGCAGTTCTTCATAATGAGCCATTATGGCCTGAAAACACTATCTTATCCGTATACAGACAGGTTAGCTTTTTGCTTAGACAGCTGGGAACCATATCCGTATATAGACACTATGAAATGCAAGATAGTTGCCAAGTCATGGCATCGATTAATCTCTGATGTTTGGTTGCAGAGATTTCGGTCGCAATCTCTTGTATAGGTCTTTACTACAGCACTCTGTGGCCGGCTAATGATGATACGTGTGTTCAACTCAATTACGTACACTTGCACCATAATTATAACTACTGGACCAAATTCTGGAATGATGGTATTCTAAAACCCAGTATAGTTCTAGGTCAGCCGCGCAACATATCTGACTATTATCTTGACTGTTGTAATGGGATAATTCTGTTCTTCAACGTACGCACTAGTCAATTTTGTGTGTTCAACCCCATCACCAAACAACATATCTCCATACCTATAGCATGCGCACATGAGCGTGAGCATTTTTACGCTGCCTTGGCTTTTGACCCTATTGAATCCAACCACCACAGAATTGTTCGAATTGATTATTCCCCAATCCAAATCCAGTGGTTCCAGAGTCCCAACGCCAACCCTAACCGTGATGACGGACATATTTTGCATTCTGGACAGTGTGTTTGTCGTGGGTTACAACTCGACCCCATGTTCATTGATGGGTTTAAAAGTTCCAAGGTTTGCAGGCATTTTGTATACTTGTGGGGGGGTGTTGTATGGCCTTGCTAGTTCACAGAAAGTTTTGTGTATTGACCTCAATACCATTAAAGCTCGAGCCTTTGAACGCCCTCGTGTTCTTGGGGACGATGATAAGACGGGTGCAACAATGGGATGTCTTGGGGTGTCAAATGATCTTGTTTGTTATGTAACCATGTGATGGTTCAAATACTTTTTGTTTTTGGTCTTATAATGATCGGCGTGAATCTGGTGACCAATGGACTCTCAAATATAGTGTTGTTAGGAATAGTTTGGTATGGGGGGCGGATACAATGTTTATACCCGGTGCAGATATAGTGTTTAAACTCTATGCAATAAGTCTGAATGCTCATGTCATCTTCTATGGCACTTTAGAATTGATCTTTATCTGGGACTTTGAAAGCCAGAAATGTAAACTGTTCAACAAGTCAAAGGTGAAGATGGCTCAAAACCTGGTTACGACTTCCTTTCTTTACCCAACGTGCTTGCTTGATACCTTTTTACAGTTTGGGTGAGAGGAATATTGCCGGCTCTACTCCATTGTAAGTAGATTGTTTCCTTCTCTCTTTTATATTTCTTACATGTTATATAAGTACGTGTACAGTGATGTTAGTACTTTTTAAGGTTATTATCATTGTCGTTAAGAAAGCTTTTTCGCAACTGAACCCATATACTTGGATACTTGAACATGTTAATACTATCGGTTTGTTTTCATATGAATTAATTTGGGATGCAAACACTTTTTCCGTTATTATTATAAATAAGGGAAAATCTCGTCTGAACTCACCAAAAAATACTCCAAATTTAAAGGAAAAGTTGACGGACCTAAGAAGAGAGAAATTACACACATTTTAAGGGCTTGAAACTTGATAGAAAGTTCAGCGGACAAATCGAAAACAAATGATAAATACAGGGGGAATAGCTATATTTTCCCCCATAATTTTAATAATGGATAATGGATAAGTTGCTGCTTAGATGAGTTTGGAGACTGTTGTTTCCAAAGAGTGTATGTTTTGGTTTTTTTCTAGAACTTACAAGATACCGAACCCAATGCGTACTGCAAAACACCCTAATTTGCAATGTGAAACATGGAGTCAGTCAAATTTTTTATTTAAGCTCACAACCTATATCTTGACAGTTGACATGATGAATCTTTTCGTAGTTAGCCTAAATATCTAAGCTATTTGTGATGCAAGTAACCTTGATATTCTTTGTTGTTTCACATGAAGCTTAATTTGTTGGTACATGTGCTCCTCAATATTTCATCTCATATTTTTCCTACTGAACAGATCAGGGAACCTTTTGAAGGGAGCAGAGATTTCGAGTGCGGAAGCATTACCATGTGAGTGTGATAATCTAAAAGATAGCTTTCAAGTTGTACGCGGTCATTCATATTGGAATAGGTTGTTCAAGAGGCGGTTTCTTTTTCCGAGTGAAATGCAGTTATGTGCTGGAATGGAGCTGCTGGATTAATGGTGATTTTCAGGCTATCCGATCACCAGGAATAAGATTTCTACTTTTCAGATTTGGTGGTTTCTTTAAATAAAAATTTAGATTGGATCAAATCAAAGTAATTTCAGAATTTCCAGAACATAATTCATTATTCATATAATTTACAAGTTTTTGAAAATTTTCAACCTTTTTAAGTATATAATGACAATTTTGAATTGAAAGTGCTTGATGTTACTGGGTTTTCCAGTTCAAGGTTGAGTATCACACATCACAGGCTTCGGTATCCCTATCTAAACAGGTCAGCTTTTAGCTTAGGCACCTCTCTTCTGTTTTTTCCTGCTCAACAAAGAATTTCCACTAGTCGTAATCGATAACTTAGGGTTCTTTGTACATTTTTGTTTGATCGACATAAGTTGGATTATTCTCGGAGGCGGTTCAAAGTCATACAAACAAGTGATTTACTGCTGTCTAAATGTGAAATTTTCATTGTGTTATGTCGCATTGCATCGATGTACGTGGATTGAATGCTTCTTTGAAAATGACCGTAAGGAAAACCATTTTGTTTTTATATCTATCTTCTGCTTTCTTTGTTGAACAAGTTCCTTCGGATAGTAACTAGGCTTCTTCCGCTCATCCGCTCATCATTTTAGAGCACTTCCACCGGAAGCAAAAGAGGCCAGCACCCAGTGGAAAAAATAGGCTGGGACTTGGCCAATCCACTCCAGACCGTGGAATAGATTGGCATCCAGCTCAAGCCAGTCTCCAGGCCAGCCTAAAATTGACCAAGGGACCGGCCCGTTTGCTTTTTTGCGCCTAGCGCGTGGCCTTCACGTGCCCGTGGGCGCGAGTAGGAGACAAGAAATCAGAGGCGGGGCCTGCTGACGGACGCACTCAAATGTCACTCAAGCTAGGCGATGTGGCCCACTCTACGCCGTTGGATTTCCAACGTCTAGTTTTTCTAGACTGTTGGATTTCCAACAGTAAAAAAAATTTGAATTTCATTTTTAAACTGGACCGTCCGATCACAGATCAACGGTCCACATTCCCCCCCCCAAAAAAGGCCCAATGGTCAGAATTATGACTGTAGGCCACGTGGCAGCTCATGGGCTGTTGGATTTGAATATTTTTCAAATCCAACGGTCCAGATTAATTAACAACATTAAAATTTATTAAAAAATAATTACAAATTATGATTTTTTTTTAAATACAGAAAAATTTTAAAATTTTTAATTTTTTTTTCTATAAATACCTAACCCTCATCTTCCATCTTACATCACATTTCAATAGTTTCTACACTTTCTACATTTCAATATTTTGTACATTTTGAGAGAAAAAAATGACTTCCTGGAAGCTCACTGAAGATGTTACGTTGTGTGAATGTTGGGTTCACACTACTCATGACCCAATTACGGGTAATGAGATGGATAAGCGAGAAATGTGGAGTAAAATTATGAAAGTGTTTTGTGATGTACATGAAAAAGACGCCAGAACTAGTCAAGGTCTTCAAGGTCGTTGGAAAAACTCAACGCATCCTTTACTTGTTGGAAAAACGTCATCTCTCATGCTTCTGGTAATCTGCGTAGTGAGACAAGTTTAGCGGATCATGTGACAATATTTTTATTTCTTTATATGCATTCCACCCGCATCAATATTTTAATTTATTTAATTTCTTATGTAATTTTTATGCATTCCACCCGCATTAATATTTTAATTTATTTATTTGTGTTACACCCGCATTTTTTAATACTATCTTATCCCGCATTTTTATGGACACTACAAGCACAAACATTCTACAATGCAAAGAACTAGAAAAAATCATTCAACAAATGGGAATGTTGGCAAATTGTCAAAGATTGCCCTAGATACAAAATTGTGGCAACCGGTCCAGAAGTTGTCATGCACGGCATGGGTCTACACAGTTTGCTAGAAGTAGACACGGCTGAACAAGAAGTCGACGCATTTGAAGACACAGAAGGGATGCCTGAACAAGTGCCGAAGACCCAATCGACTCGTCAGTCCCTCAGGCCTCAAGGTAAAAAGGCATCAAAGAAAAAAGGTAGTTCTTCCAAAAATGACTACACTAAATATATGGAGGAACTTGCTTGCCAAGGTGAACTGAACATGGCGTGGGAAAAGGCTAGAGATGAGGAAAAAACTACTGCTATGGCAGCAATAATAGCAACTACTGAGGCCTGTGATGCGTCGGCTGAGAGACAAAGAGAAATAGTTAATCAAGAGAACGAGATGATTAGAGAAGCACTTCATTGAGAAGAAATGATGGCTCAAGCAGATCGTGACACTATGAACAAGTCTCTAGTAGGACTGTTTCCGAATTCAAAATATTTTTGGACAGCGGAAAAAAAAGAGGTCGTGTGAATGAGGCGTGCAAGAGATGCCGAAACGAGTCGAGGGGGTTCTAGCTACATAAATCATAGCAACGAAGATCATAGCACCACATATCCTAGCTCCACAGACTTTGTATAATTTCGTATTTATTTGTAGTACTTTATTTAATTTGCTATTTATTTTTAGAACTTTATTTAATTTGTTTCCGTTAGATATGCTGTTAAGTAATGACGTGGTAAATAGAAAACCAACATGTTTTGATGACATGGCATATAAAAACAATTAAATATTAAAAAATTAATTTGAAAACAAAACTAAATTAAAACAAAGTGGGTCCCACCCACTTTCTTTCTTCAGGGTTTATTGTCGAAGGGCAATCTGCTTATGCCCAACATCTTCATGTAGCTTTTCCATTCCGTCGATGCGCAACCTACCCATTCCTGGAAACCCACTTCCTTTAGGCCTCACTCGTGGGTTCCTGGAAATCCACTTCCTTTGTGCCTCACTCGTGGCACTAGGCTCTCTAGGTAGTGCGTTATGGCCTCCAGTACCTTCTTTCACTGTCGCCAATGGCTTCACTCTCCAGCGAGTTCTCACCCTACCAGCAGTAGCAGGACGATGACCAACAGTGGTAGGGTGATACTGCCTTGGGCAGATCCGGGATTCAAAAATTTTGAATTTTGAATATTATAAGAAAGGCTAATAATGGAAGGTACCCGATTAAAAGAGCCAAGATCCGAAACCTAAGTTGCAAAGGTTCTAAGGTAGTGGTGGATCTAAGAAATAATAATAGGGGGTCAGTAAGAATAACGTGTGTAACGCGCAAATTTTTTATTACAAGAAATAACATGCATGCAAAGGGCAGCACCCAAGGTATCCATGGACATTCATCGAGTCTTGGTGGCTTAAAGTCGGTTAGAGGGCATGTATGAAGCCAACTCTAATCTTCAAAAGGGCAGCACCCAAGGTATCCATGGATATTCATTGAAGTTCGGAGGGTCAACACCCAAAGTATTTATGGACGTTCATCGAAGTTCGGGGGGTCAGCTGGCCCCCTGCCCCTCAATGATAGAGATCCCAATCAGATCTCACCCCACCAAATCCTAAGGATACGGAGATCCGGACCGTTGAAATTTGATCTAATATCTACAAACAGGGGGTCCTTCTAAAAGTGATAATAATTGTAGTTGTTTGATCAAATTTCAACTGTCCGAACCTCCTGATCCTTAGGACTTGGTGGGGGAGATCCGGCTGGGATCTCTGTCCGCCTCTCAATGCATTCGCCATTGTTCCAGGGCAATTGGGAATTGAAAGGATTTAGTTCGACATGTTTGTGTGAAATTGAATGCTAAATTTTGCTACTTTTTTGGCTTATTATATCAATTTCATCATCACCAAACTTTCTAAATTCAAAGACAAAAATAGTCACTTTTACAACAGCTACCATTACATTACAAAAATACAATCCCAAATCAAATGTTAGAAAACCCTAATTCAGAATTTTTGGGCAAAATCCAATGTCTTCTTCTCAGTTCACAAAACCCTTGAAAGAACAAATTTAACAACCAGAACCCCAAAATTTGGGCACAAATCAGATAAAAAAAACCCACCATTTGCAAGCTTTAAGCTTTAAAACCCAGCAACCAGATGACCATGATTTTAGGCGGAGGTCGCCGACATTGAGGAGGAGGTGGGAGCTGGAGGGATTCGTGGAGAAGATATAGTGGCAGAGAGGGAGGGCTCAGTAGAGAGGATATCATGGCAGAGAGGGATTCACTGTCGCCGCCGTTGATGCATCTTCTCCGAAGAGGTAGGGTGGTTTGAAAAATCGGCCCTTGATTTTTTTTCATTTTTAAGTTTTAAATAAAATATTATTTGTTTGGCCATGTGTCAGAAGTTGTCAACCACGTCAACAAGAATATAAAACACATTATTACCATGTCATCACTTAATGGTTAATTTAACAAATTTGCTAACGATTGTATAAAACTAAAATGAAATAATAAGTAATGTATGAGATTGAAATGTTTTAAAGATGATGTATGATGTTGTAATTACACTCAAACTTGAGGTGGTAAAATGTAATTTATCCTTATAAATTTATTTGTTAATTCCAAGGGAATGGTTTGGGACTAATGGGCCCCCATGTGGTCTCTTGGACCAATGGTGAGGACTGAATATAAGATTAGGGGAGGACCCCTTCTACATTATAAGAAGAAGAATAAGTCACAGAATTTGGGTCCCCGCATAAACGACACACATGGCTATCTGTCCCCCCACACGTGTGCCAGGTTTTATTGCCTTCACGCCTCAACGACTTGACTCAGCCACTGGCCATAGCACCCAGCTCACAAACATCAACCTTAATTAGCTAGATCCACACGTGCTGATTGTTCATAAATTTAGGTTTAAAAGTTAATTAAAGCTTCTTTGTTAATTGTTATTCTGATACATTTTGTGACATCTTCCAATTGCATGTATTTCCATATTAGTCAAGCAACGACAATTGGCTTTTGGTGCCCTTGCATTGAATGGATGCATGCATTGGGAACTAAGATTGTCTCTAGAACTTTGCTTCCGGAGCCAATGGACTCATTAATTATAGCCATTAAATTTATGGAGTTTTAACGAAACATTCCTGGTACTGTTCACTTTTAACGAAAAACCAGTTTTTTACCTTTTTCTAGTACTATTCACTACACCTTTATTTGTCATTTTTTATTACAATTAAAGTTTTTTTGGACTTTTCGTTAGTGTTCTTTTAAATTTAATCGTGCGGCCATGAAACCAGAGGGAAAAGGGTGCAGTTGATGGGGGAGGGAGGAGGAGGGGATGAGGGTGGGATGACGACTATCATGGTAATGGGTGACTTGTGAGTGGTGAAGAAGTGAATCTGAAGGAGAAAATCTGTTACATTACAGAGTTTAGTGAAGATGAGGATGAGGATGAGCCTGCCCAACTCGTTGGCCGTCGAAACCTCTTACTGGAATCCATGGCAGGCAAGAAGGGCAGAGATGTGAAAGAGTATTGTACGTGAAAAAATAAAGAGAATTTCTGATCGTAAAATCTATTTTTAATGATTAAGATTTATTGATTCTCGAATCCTGATAGAATTGCTCCGGAGAGAATCCTCTTTCACATGCATGCCTTATTCAAACTTAAGGGCGTGTTTATGTCTTGTAATCAGAATCAATTTAAAGGGTTGTATTCCGATTACGGAATACTTGTAACATCCCACATCGCCCAGGGGAGTGATCCTTAAATGTATATTCCCATCCCTACCTAGCACGAGGCATTTTGGGAGCTCACTGCTTTCGGGTTCCATCAGAACTCCGAAGTTAAGAGAGTAGCGCATGAGAGCACTCCCATGATGGGTGACCCACTGGGAAGTTCTCGTGTGAGTTCCCAGAAACAAAACCGTGAGGGCGTGGTCAGGGCCCAAAGCAGACAATATCGTGCTATGGTGGTGGAGCGGGCCCGGGAAGTGATCCACCCCTGGCCAGGGTGTGACAATTGGTATCAGAGCCTAACCCTGGCCGTGGTGTGCTGACGAGGTCGTCGGGCCCCTAAGGGGGGTGGATTGTAACATCCCACATCGCCCAGGGGAATGATCCTTAAATGTATATTCTTATCCCTACCTAGCACGAGGCCTTTTGGGAGCTCACTGGCTTCGGGTTCCATCGGAACTCCGAAGTTAAACGAGTAGCGCGCGAGAGCACTCCCATGATGGGTGACCCACTGGGAAGTTCTCGTGTGAGTTCCCAGAAACAAATCGTGAGGGCATGATTAGGGCCCAAAGCGGACAATATCATGCTACGGTGGTGGAGCGGGCCCGGGAAGTGATCCACCTCGGGCCGGGGTGTGACAATACTCATTCGTTTACTTAACTTTGGGGAATTAAATTGTATGTGGGATCCACACCAATTTGGGAATCCCACTCGTTATTTTGAAGGAATTGGACTCCCTACATGAGAAAGGTATTTCAATTCCTGGATACTTGATGAATCCAGAATGGATTTCTTCTACCAATTATGCCTTCACTTGTTTCCCAACATTGCCCTTCATTTAACACTCATCCAGCACTGCTCATTCTCCATCTCTGTTAACACTACACCTTCTACCACGTAGGGCCGCATCACATACCTAACCTAATCTCCATTCGTTTCACCAAATTGCTGGGCTTTTACCTGAATTCGATCGTTGCACTCTTAACTAATGTAATGGACCGGGATCGAGACGACGACGAGACTGCTCTGCACTGGACCAAGAATGGCCTAGCTATGGGGCGGTGGCTATGCATGCGTAAATTGGTGAAAGATAGAGACAGGGCAAGGAAAGGCAGGAGTGGGTGGAAGGCAGTGCAATTAGACCTTCAGGATGAAAGGGAGGTGTGGGAAATATAGAGATGTGGGGGATGGATGAAAATAACCATCTTTTAATAAATAAATAAAACCTATTTTTATATTTTTATATAGCTAAATTTTATTATATAAATTTAATTAAGAAATTTAACTTAATTAATTAGTGTAAAAATAATTTATTTATGTAAGGGCAATTTAGTAATCGACCTAGTTTTAATTCCGATTGAAGTGAATTAGTAAACAACTTATACAGACTCAATATCATTCCTATTCTGTAACATCCCACATCGCCTAAGAGAGTAGATCCTGTAAGCCTTATATGTATATTCTCATCTCTACCTAGCACGAGGCTTTTTGGGAGCTCATTGCCTTCGGGTTCCGTAGAACTTCGAAGTTAAGCAAGTTCGCGTGAGAGCAATCCCATGATGGGTGACCCATTGGGAAGTTCTCGTGTGAGTTATCAGAAACAAAATCGTGAGGGCGTGGTCGGGGCCCAAAGCGGACAATATCATATTACGACGGAGTCGAGCCCGGGATATGGTGGGGGCCCGGGTCGGGATGTGACATACTCCGATTCCAGACAGTTTTAGTAAACAAATTCAACATAAATCTGATTCTAATTCCACCTCATTTCAATCCATCCTCAATCTAATTTCCTCAATTCAATTCTTCTCAATCTGAGTTAAGGATTAGTAAACGCGCCCTAAGTGTGTGAATATCTTATGTTTCCAATTTTTGAACTATCGTGGGAGTAAACCTTACATAAAACAGGTTATTGCTATGTGGCTTCTCAATTTAATAATACATTATCATATAAAGAAAACACTTATACTTGAAAATATACTTGACAATGTATCATTAGATGAGACGCAACATGACGGCAAAACTTAGTTACGTCCAACTTATCTAACAAGTCTTTTAAAGATGTTATTAAAACAACTGTCAACGTCATGTCACAGTGTTACGTGGTTACACCAAAATAGTTTTTGTTAAAAGGACTTAACCCCATGCTTGTTTAAAAGTTAGGCTTTAGATTTTTAGTCCAACATAGTATTCAAAAGTTTGAAAGAAAAGCAAGCACTAAATTGTTCTAGAAATCGGAGCATTCATCTTTAACTCACAACATTTTTTGAGCAAATCTTCCCATTTTTTGGAGTAATTTATATTAGAAATATAACTTTGTATTAACAAAAAATTAAAAAGAAAAAAGAAAAGGAAAAGAGATTAGGTGGGAACCACAATCTCCAAGTATTATTAGCATTGGCCAATCTCAAAAGGAATCCTGATGGCTCAATCTCTAAGTATAAAGCTCGGTTGGTCGCACAAGATTTTTCACAAGAACAAGGAGTTGATTACTCAGAAACATTTAGTCATGTGGTTCAACATACCATAGTGAGAGTATTATTAGCATTGGCCACAATTAATTAATAGGAGTTAAGGCAATTAGATATTAAGAATGCATTTCTGCATGGTGATCTTCAAGAGGAAATTTACATGAAACAGCCTCAGGGATTTGTGGATATGGCCAATCATTTGTATATTTGCAAGTTAATCAAGTTGTTGTATGGTCTTAAGCAAGCTCCGAGGGCCTGGAACTCCAAGTTCACAAGTTACTTACCTGCAATGGGGTTCAAAGCTTCTGCTTCAGATTCCAGTTTATTTGTTAAGCAAGATAATAGTGATGTAGTCATTCTACTGTTGTATGTAGATGACATTATCTTAACTGGATCAAACTCGTGCAAGGTACAAAGTGTAATCACAGAGTTATCTGAGGTGTTTGAGCTTAAAGATATGGAAAAGTTGACTTATTTTCTTGGTTTGCAAGTTAACTACAAGAAGAATGGTGATATCTGTGTTAACCAATCTAAGTATATAAAATACTTATTGCATAAAACTGGTATGGAGTCCTGCAAACCAGCATCTACACCATGCAAGCCTCATAATCCATTGCTAGTCACTGAAGGTACCATATTGCCTGATCCAAGTTTGTATTGTAGTATTGTTGGCTCATTGCAGTATTTGACCTTTACAAGGCCAGATATTGCATATGTTGTGAATTCTGTGTGTAAATTCATGACTTCTCCCACAGAGATACATTTTGGGGTAGTAAAAAAGATCCTGCGATTCTTAAAAGGAACTATACAAACTGGTATCACATTTTCAGTTGACACTGCAGTAGGGATCACAGCCTTTAGTGATTTTGTTTGGGCTACAGATTTGAACACAAGGCGATCTGTGACAGGCTATGTTGTATACATTGGTAATAATCCAGTTTCATGGCAGTCAAAGAAGCAAGATTCTGTATCAAGGAGTTCTACAGAAGCTGAGTATAACGCATTGGCACATACTGCAGCTGATGTTGCTTGGATTATAAATGTTCTTCGAGATATGGCTATTGTCTTACCTTTTCCTCCAGTGATATACTTTGATAACAAATATGCAATTGCATTAAGTGCCAAACCAGTTTTTCACTTGAGGATCAAACATTTAGACACAAATATCATTTCGTACTGGAGAGAGTTCAAAAGGGGGATTTGCAAGTTCAATATCTACCTACTGAAGGTCAAACCACAGACATACTAACTAAGGGTCTACATAGTCCTTCATTCCTCAAGCATTCATTCAATCTCAAGCTTGGAAACCCAGCTAAGATTGAGGGGCGATGTTGATAGATATATGTACACATCGGCAAGATAGGGTTTTGACATATGGCTTACACGTTAGCCAAGGTTGTTAGGATTGTGGTTAGACAACTAAAAGGATAAGAGAAGTTAATTAGTTTTCGATTACTTAGCTATGAATCGAAGGTTGTAGTATGTATAGCAATTCTCTGTAATTCTCAATCAATCAATACATTCATAGCAGTTCATTCTTCTCTCTCTTCTATCTCTCTACATTTTTCTATGAAGGTTTTCATTGCTTTCTTCTTCCTTCTAAGATACTGAGCTTAGTGTTAATATATATGATTTTTAAAGCAGGTGTCTATTTTAAATTCCATTTATAGGTGTAGTTGATATTGTTTAAGTTCTTGGCATCGGGTTTCATGTAGCACTAAAGATACTTGATTCCATTTGGTAATTATTATGTCCTTTATGTATTTTGCTTTAATAATAATTGTTTCACATATAAAATATATACGACTAACTATTTTTTCTTATTTACTATTTAATAGGTCTGACCTCAAATAAACCCGAATGAAATCCAATCTAAAATTTAACCACTTTTGTGAGGGTTGGGTTAGAGTTGGGTTGAACTTGCAACCCACTCAAGTTGTACTCTTATATATAACTGGCCCAATTTAGAATTAAATTTTTTTAATAAGTACGAGGAAGTTATTATTTTATAAGAGTACTGAGGTTCTAGGTTATGTCCATGCTAATGTCATATCTTTGGTTATTCGCTATGATAATCAATTGATTACATCTACAGGGAGGCATGAGAGGCTTTTAGAGAGTAACGCGGTTGTGGAGAAACCCTAGCTAGGAATTAAGGGTGCTTAGAGTGAGGGTAAGGTTGTCATTTCATATCAAAACTACACGATATTTCGTAACTGAAGCTAAAGGGGGAAAAAGGCAGTAGTATGATGCTTGGTTTAAAGTCATCAAATCCAAATAAAAAATCCCAATCCGAATAGGAATAGGAAAATAACTTTGATTGATTCTTATTCTCATATCTCCAATATGGAGGCATATATATACATCCACACCTTGCGGTACAATGAATAATAATAAAAGAGTTTATCCTAAACTAGGTAGGAATCCCTTTAATGTAGGAAACCAAATTACATTCCAATACTAATTGATTTATGACTCACACGCCAACATAAGATGTAGTACGAAGACTTTACAAATTGATCTGCGTACAGTTTATTGTTAGTCGATGGTTTCTTTCGAGGCTTAATTCAGGTCCTGATTGAATTTCTGAATTCTCGGGTTTCGGACGCTGCCCTTAAGTTTCAAAATTTTAGGGTTTCCGATACTTCTGTTTCTTTCAACTTTACCAGAATAACTAGAGATCATCATGGTTGGCTCTCCGGCTGCTGCTGTCGAATTGAATGATTCGGGTACGAGGGATTTATGTATGTGTGATGATTTGTGGTTTAATATTTTGAGCAGATTATCACAGTTAGATTTGATGAAATGCAAGATAGTTGCCAAGTCATGGCATCGAATAATCTCTGATGTTTGGTTGCGGATATTTTGGTCGCAGTCTCCTATTATAGGTCTTTACTACCGTACTCTGTGGCCAGCTGATGATGATACGTATCTTCAACTCAATTACGTATGTTTGCATCATAATTATAACTACTGGACCACATTCTGGAATAATGACATTCTAGAACCCGATAAACTAGTTGTCACTCAGGTGCGCGACGTATCTGACAGTTATCTTGACTGTTGTAATGGGTTAATTCTGTTCTTCAACCTGCGCACTTGTCAATTCTGTGTGTTCAACCCCATCACCAAACAACATGTCTCCGTACCTATAGCATGTGCACATGAGCGTGAGCATTTTTGCGCTGCCTTGGCTTTTGACCCTGTTGAATCCAACCACTATAGAATTGTTCGAATTGATTATTCCCCACAATCCAAATCCAGTGGTTCCCCAGTCCCAACCCCAACCCCAACCCTAACTCTGATGATGGACATATTTTCTTCGCAATCTGGACAGTGGGCTCGTCGTGGATTGCAACTCGACCCCAATTTTGTTGATGGATTTAAAACTTCCAAGGTTTGCAGGCATTTTGTATACTTGCGCGGGGTGTTATATGGCCTTGCTAGTTCACAGAAAGTTTTATGTATTGACCTCAATACCGTTAAAGCTCGAGCCTTTGAACTCCCTCGTGTTCTTGGGGACGATGATAAGACAGGTGCAACAATGGGATGTCTTGGGGTGTCAAAGGATCTTGTTTGTTATGTAACATGTGATAGTTCAAAAACTTTTCGTTTTTGGTCTTATAATGATCGACGTGAATCTGGTGACCAATGGACTCTCAAATATAGTGCTGTTTGGAATGGTTGGGTATGGGGGTCGGATACAATGCTTATACCCAGTGCAGATATAGTGTTGAAACCCTATGCAATAAGTCCGAATGCTCATGTCATTTTCTATGGCACTTCAGAATTGATCTTTAGCTGGGACTTTGAAAGCCATAAAGGTGAACTGTTCGACGAGCCAATGATAGGGAAGATAGCTCCACCTGGTTATGACCTTCCTTTCTTTACCCAACGTGCTTGCTTGATACCTTTCTACAGTTTGGGTGAGAGGAATATTGCCGGCTCGAATCCATTGTAAGTAGATTGTCTCCATACATACATAGATATATATATATATATATATATATATATATATATATATATATATATGAAATTGTTATTAGCACTCCAAAAATCTCATTCTACACTCCTCACAAGTGTATTTTTCTTTCTAATTATAGAAAGTTTGGAGTGCCAAATGTGATTTTTGGAATGCTAATAACAATTCCTTATATATATGTTATGTTCTTATATAATATATACTATATAAGCATATACACAGGAATGTTAGTACTTTTTAAGGTTATTATCATTGTCATTAAGAAGAGCTTTTTCGTAACTAAACCCACATACTTGGATGCTTGATTTAAATTGGAGAGCAAACACTTTATCGTTTATTCTTATAAATGTGGGGAAATCCCGTTTGAATTCAACAAAAATGACTTCAAATTTAAAGGAAAAGTTGACGGACCCAAGAAGAGAGGAATTTCGACATTTTCAGAGATTAGAGGGCTTGAAACTTGATAGAAAGTTCTACTGACCAATCGAAAATTAAACAAATGATAAGTACAAGGGGAATTGCTATATTTTCTCCTTTAATTTTACCAATGAAGAATGGATTAATTAGTTACTGCTTAGATGACTTTGGAGTCACAATGTTGTTTCCAAAGAGTCCATATTTTGATTCTTTTCTAAAACTTACAAGACACCGAACCCAATAGTTGCATAATTAATGGGTAACTTTTTGTTGAAGCTCACAACCTATCTTGACACAATGAATCTTGTCGTAGTTAGCATAAATATCTAAGCTATTTGTGATGCAATTAACATTGATTTTTCTTTGTTGTTTCACATGAAGCTTTATTTGTTGGTATATATGCACCTCACAATAGTTTCTCTCATATTTTTCCTTCCAACAGATCAGGGAGCCTTTTAAGGGGAGCACAGATTTTGAGTGCGGAAGCATTACCATGTGAGTGTGATAAACTAGACAGCGTACAAGTTGTAAGTGGTCGTTCATATTGCAATATGTTGATCAAGCGGCGGTTTACTTTTCCTAGTGAAATGCAGTTATGTGCAGGAATGGAACTGCCGGGTTAAGGGTGATTTTCAGACATATCTGATAGTAAATAAGATTTCTACTTTTCAGATTAGGTGGTTAATTTATTTTTAATTTTTTTTAGATTGCATCAAATCAAAGTAATCTCGAAATTTCGAAAATATAGTTCATTATTCATATATTTTACAAGTTTGAACTTTCTCGAACTTTTTCATATATACGTGGGAAATTCATTTTTAAATCAATAAGATGTTATGATATTATTGTAGCCAAATTAGTCAAATATAATGTTCGAAAGTTGGGTGCGACTAGTTTGACCATAATAAAATAGATACTTTAATACGACTTTAATTTGAATTTGCAGAATTACACAACGTACACTGTAATGCAATACATGTAGAAAAAAGGGAAATAAACGGCCTCATTAATGGACCGAAAAATTACTTTTCTAATCACTAATGGATAGACGTAAGTGATAGACGTAAATTACTTTTCTAATCACTAATGGACCGAAAAATTATTTTCTAACTATCTACATAGGAGGAATCCATGTGACATTCCTCATTTACCTAAACCTAATTAAGGATAATGCTTATATTTCACATATGGGGTGTAACTTACTTGTTCCACCACTTATATTTAACGTATATTTACCGTATGAACTTATAATCAAACCCGTTTATACTCTTTGTCATTACCTAAAGATCATTTGTAAAAAAATCATTCAATTTGGAGATCCCTTAGTCATTTATATGCATCAAGCAAATGGATGCTTCATCATGAGTATGTTATTTGTTACGAAAACCGCTTAATTAATGTGACACCTATAGATTGCTAAAGACCTCCAAATTGAAGGATTTTTGGTATACCTGATTTTTAGATGATGATAAAGAGTATGAATGGGTCGTTTTATTAAGTTCGTAGAGTAATGGTACATTAATAATAAGTGGGAGAACAAGTAAGTTCCTCCGTGAGTGGAACACCATTATCATCTCATGACTAATTAATAAAGTTCTCATTGAAAAAAAAAATAACTAAACTTAGTAAAAAAAGTTGCACATATGTTATTTTTATTAATGTTGTTGATGCACAAAACCGGAGGTCTTGGAACAGCGTAAGTCCTACCGTGAATCTGCAAGAAATGTAAATAACACAAGATGTATCGTAGTTCACCCCAATGTTTGGGCTATGTCCACACTAATATTGTATTTCTCTGTGAGGGAGAGAAAGCCTCTGAATAGGAGAGTGAGGCTTCTGAGGGTGGTAGT